GGGATTTCCCGAGGGTGGGGCAGATGCTGGTTGTTAATGCGTCTCGATTTGCATTGCAATAGGCACTGGGTTGGGTTGAATCTCAGAGGGAGGGGCCACTGCCTCTCCCCAGAGTCCTGAGAAGGAGTAATCTGACCACTGTCCTGCGTGGCTGCAACTCAGCAAAACTTCTGAGCACCTTCCAAATCCTGAGTGTCCCCACACAGTTCCAGTTCAGTCCAGGGTATGTGGCTGTGGCTATTTTATCGTCTGTCTAGGTTTTGCGCTGTGGATCTGCTTGGGAGTTTAACCCGAGGGCGCTGCTTACAGCTAAGGCTCCTGAAGTCTGTGGGCTCCCACCCCCCTCTCGCACCTCCGCAAACCTTCCAGGATCAAGTCAGGGTCCCTTATGTGCTCCTTGCAAACTTCTTTTCTGTTGCTTTTTCCTGACGATTTGTCTTTATTTTTGTTGTAATTCCATTTTGGTCCTGGGAGATGGTCTGTGTAGCTTCCATTCACTCCACCGCCTATTTTCCTAATCCCCGTGAGCACATTTTTAGTCTGAATTTTATTTGTAGTCTTCTGTTCTTTTTACATGTATGCAATATATCTTTTTATCTCACATCTTTCCCTCTGCTACCTGAATTGTCTTTATTTCTCTCATTACCTTTCTTTTTCTGTTGTTGTTTTGGCTTCTGTGTTTAATGCTAGAAGCTTTTGGAGGTGGACCTTCTTGATTGGTAGGTTTCACTGCATGAGTTATCCCCTAGCCTTCATTTTCATTAGGTAATCACCAGTAACTGGAATCTAGGGATCATTCTGGGGCCATTTTCAGCAGTTCTCAACCTTTGGGTTATGGCCCCTTGGGGGGGGGTCAAACGACCCTTTCAAAGGGGTTATGTAAGACATAACAGTAACAAAATTACAGTTATGAAGTAGCAATGAAAATAATTTAATGGTTGGGAGTCACTGTAACATGAGGAACTGTATTAAAGGGTCATGGCATTAGGAAGGTTGAGAACCACTGATTTAGAGTATTGAAAGAATAATCCTCTCTTTTCCTACTGAGTGGGAGAAACAGATGGGGAAAAGGAGGATAATTTAAGTATGTCAACTGGTGTTCTGGAAATAGGAAAGGAGAAGGAAGGGGGCTGAAAGGCCCAAGTTCAATGTGTAATGCTTCCCTCTGCCCTCTATTATGTTTCATCTCCCCAAAACTGAAACTTCTTTAGTTTAATTTTTCTGGAGAACAAACCTCACTTTCCTACAGAGAAGAGTACCGTGCAGAAGATACTTGCTATTCTCCAGCTATTCTTGCTTTATTTAGGCTTTCAGACAGTCTTTGTTTTCAGTCCTACACCTTATCTCTGCCTTCATGGATGCCTGAAGTCTACAGTTGCTAAGCCTCTCAAGAGTTTTGTGGGCCACACTGACTAATCTCTAAGTGTCCCCTTCCTCTACCATTGACTTTTAGAGTTCAGCTTCCCTTCCTTAGCTCTGCCAAATCAGATACCAATCCTTGGTCTGCTTTTCATCTTGTAAAGGTTTTGAAATATCCTGTCCATTGCCTTTTTTCCATCTATCTTTGTCATTGTGTGATATTACCTATTTTCATTTCTTTAATGTTATTTTGGTGGGAAAGGAAGATAAATGTTTGTGACCTATCCATCATGATTTACTGCAACTCTACTCACTTCCCAAAAGAAAGAATTCTTCTAAGAAACATTGGCTAGTTTCATCCCTTTTAATTGAAATATTCTTTATTTTTTTCTCCCTTGCTGCTTTTGGGAGGATTTTCATATCCCCAAATATCCTTTGAAATGGGTAAGTGGTTAGATGTATTGAATCTGACATATTATAATTTGGGCAGGGAAAGTGGCTAGAGGTGACAGGTAAGCATGAATAAATATCATAGTTATGGTAACAAGGTCTAATAATAGGACCTTCCAGTGGTGACTTGTAGAAATTTTTCTGTAAGTTCCAATGCCATCATCCAGGGCAAATACAGATTCAGGCATGGTGTCTGAGTTAGGTAAGAAGAACTTCAGAAAAGCCTTTCTGAGGGAGCAAAATTTTACTGGAGACTTTCCAGAGAAAGCCACCAGAAGGTGCCAATGATTTACATTTCTGGGGACAATTCTGGTATGCTTAGAGGAAAAGAACACTAGCATACATGGAACATTGTGAACCAGGGAGAGAGTTTTCAGATAAGATCAGAGGGGTCAGCAGTTGCCAGATTACATAGGATTTTATAAGGAGTTCAGCTTGTGTTGTAAGTGGGTTGGGAAACCATTGGAGAGTTTCAAGCAAGGAAGTCATTGATGTGATCTATGTTTTAGAAAGATCATTCTAGTGGAAGATGATCTGGAGCAAGGTAAGAGTAGAAGCAGAAGGATCAAGATATGGAGCTATTACTGTAATCCAAGTGAGAGATGATGGTGGCTTGGAATTAGTGAAGAGTAGAGGGAATGGAGAAAAAGAGATTTGTGGTAGGCTATGGTGGTAGAACTCACAGGACTGGTTAGTGGATTGTACATGAGGGGAGAAGTTTGAGGCGATCCTACATCTGTATGGTAGTCTTTTGACTGGTTCCCAAATTACTGGGATATTACACTTCTGAAACTTCTAGGATTAAATAAGTGTCTCCTGTAATTGATGTAATAGGAATTTACTGACAATTAAATTCTGTATAGTAGGAACAGATAGAGAAGTTTATTGTATTAGTGTTCTCATCTAATCTTCCAGTGACTCCCACATTTCTATCTTCAACTTGAATCTCTTCCCTCAACTTCAGACTCATGTACCCAACTTCTCACTTCCCACCAAAATGTAACATATCTGAAAACAAATTCCTAATCTTTTCTCCCAATCTGTATCCCTTGCAGTCTTTTTCTGTCTCAGGTATGGCAGCTCTATTTTTTTTCAGTTCTTCAAGCAAAACCCTTAGAGTTGTCCTGAATCTATTTTCTCCCTCTCTCTTTTACAGTATGCGGAATCTCTCAGGAAAACCTATACTCAAAATATATTCAGAATTGACCACTGTTTACTGTCCTCCACTGCCACCAGCATCACTTAAGCTGCTATTATCTCTCATTTGGATTACTGCAAAAGAATGTAAACTATCCTTGCTACTTTGGCCTTGCTCCTACATTCTGTTTTCAATATATCATCCATAGTGATCTTTAGAAAATATAACTTAGATCTCATTATAGCTCTGTACAGTGTGCTCCAGTGGCTCTTAGTTTTCCTCAGTATGAAAGTCAAAGGCCCCTCAGTGATCTCATTCTCTGATCTTAGCTCCTACTCAAAGTATTAGGGAATACTATTCTTCAAAGGCTCCATGTTAAAGGAAAATTTCTTACAAAACATGTTTAATTGATTGAGTTTTAGTTCTTCTACACACACACACACACACACACACACACACACACACACACAAATAAAAGACATAATGGTCTTGTATTTTGGCTACAAATATTTTCATAAACAGACCATGTTCTTTCAAGTAGTTAAAATGACAAGTGAGCCAAAATTCACAGGCTAGATAGTGGTAGGGGACAGCATATTGGAGTTTTATCCTAGAATCTTCAGCCAAGGAAAATGTACACAAAAATATTACCAAATTCCCTTTCACCTCTTCTGACAATTCTGTTTATTGTACTTTGTTTATATTGATGAGTCTATGTGACATTTTGTAACATTTGATTTATTGCTGCTAATTTTTATTAGTTAACAAATATGGGCTATTATTTTCTTAATATTTTGAGGAAAAAGAGAAGTGTTTTGACTGATTATAAGTACATTGTTTTTCTTTTATCATCACTGAGTTTTCTTATAATTATGCTTTGTTCATCCTTTCATTAGTAACTTGTGTGCCTCACTTGCTGGTTGGAAGGGTGTGTTGATTTTGAGGTTCTGACAGAAAGGCAGAAGCCTGGGGCACGATGCATGGGACAATGCTTTAGTGACTATGTCTTTTCCTTCAAAAAATGATATTACATGAGCAGTATATATTTAGCCTTAAAACTGGTACAATGTGGTCAAATTTAGAATAAGTGATATTACACAAAGAAGTATTTTGTTTGTGTTTAAGTCATCATAGCAATTGTGTTAACCTTACTGAGTCTTAATGGCCCAAACTCTATTATGGTTAAAGACGAATTTATACTAATGTCCATAATTGGGAAATAGTAGTCAAATAAATTCACTAGTTTTGAACTATAGTTTTATGATGCAAGATAATCATTTTTTACAAGAAAATTGGCGTAATATTTTCTGATTGTAAATTTAAAATCATTCAGGTGATACAGGAAAGTCTAAAGAAAAAAAACAAAAATTATAATCTCTCTTCTCAGATAGCCATTCTTAATACTTCTGTGTATTGTTACTAGACTTTCCACTATGCCTTTTATATAAATATAAACCTAAAATGAGATCATACTCATGATATTTTATAACCTCATTTCTACTCAATAATATATCATGAACATATTTTCATATATGGACCTAAATAACCCTTTTTAATGTGTACATAATAAATGATAAAGACACCTATTATTTTTCCTAAAAATATACTAGACAAAATGTTTCTAGGCTTGCCTTAAAGATTTCCAAGGCTTGCAATTTAAGAAATATAAGCACATTTTACTGACATTGTATCACCTGTTTCAAACTAAAAAGACCTTGAGATATTCTTAACAAAATATAGCAATGATCTTAGTTACTGAATAAACTAATTTGTTTCTGTGGCAACCGCAACAAATATTTATTTAATACCTGCTAAGTGCCAGCATTGATCTAGGTACTGGGGATACTTTGGCGATTAGATGTGTGAGATATCTGTTTGCAAAGAGTTTATATTCTAAAGGGTTAGAAACAGATAATTTGCTAATAATGAATAAAGAAAATATCAGATATTGAAGCATCCTTGATATTATGTTTTCATGGTAGCATTTAAACTGACATTTTGGTTTTGAATTCTGCAGATTAAATCAAATCATATACTATAATTATATTTTTAGGTTTGAAGACAGTGAAAAACAAATCAATTATCAGTCATTTTTCTCTGCCCTGAACTGGAGAATAAATCGGATGCCTGAATTAATAGCAATATCACCCTTGAAAGAGGTAAAATTAATATGTATTTTAAAAACCAGCTGTGATACTTCCCCTGCATTTTTAATGTCCTTCATCTTAAAGTTATTTTTCCATGTAAAATATTAATATCAATGCTTTTTGAAAGAGCACTTATGTATTTCTGGGTATTTGTGTTAAAGGCTAATTTACTTTCCATGCTGAGCAAACATCTGTTCTATAAGAGCATGACTTTTTTTATGCAGCTGAATTTTTTTAACCTTAGTCACATCCAATTACATAGAAGATAGGATAATAGGTTATAGTTATAAATAGATATAAACGCTGTTATCAAGGGATTCTGGTAACATCATGAGCAACAAGAGCAAATCTCAAATGGTGAATATGTCAAGAATCCCCAGTGTATCTGTGGCTGTGCACACAGGTTTGCCTTTGGTCAAACAATGCAGTATGGGGATGCACATTTCACAGTGGAGCCAAATTTAAAATAAAAATTTAGTAGAAAAATGCTTGCTTAGGGAAAACAAAGTTCATGTGATTAGATGGTGCTCTCAACATTGTGGAATTATCTGAATTCTCTAAGATCTCTTTAGACCAATTGTGTTTAAGGAGTGGGTGGGTGGTGGTTTGTTTATATTTTAACATGCTCCAGAAATTGATTTGCTTGGGAAAGTCCCCTGATAAAGCAAATGTCTTCTGTTTTATACTCCCAGAAAGGAGGCATTTATTCCTCCCAATCTCTGCTGACCAGCTTATTCTGGCCTGAACTGGTCTAGTGCCCCTGGGGAGTTCCCTCAGGCATAAAGCTATTCTGGAGTGTCAGGCAGCCTTAGAACTTCCAGATGATTGGGAGACAGTGATGGCCTTTGGAGTCAAACAGAACTAGGGTTGAAATCTGGCTCAGTCACTTTGTTAACTTGTTCATTTATAAATTTTATTCTCAAACAAATCATGATTAAGTAATCACTTTCAGAGGGTTCTATGGTCTATTCTGGGGTCCAGAGAAAAAGGTCAGCAGCCCATTGTTGATGTGGGTGTCAATACACTCATGATTTGGAGTATGGCGTGATACAGCCCATATGGGATGTAATGGGATGAGGAGGAAGCTGCTTATAAATTAGACTGGGGTCGTGGGTGTGACAGGAAGTCTTCTCAGGGGAGGTAATCCTTGAAATTTCGATGATGAATACTGAGAGTTAGCAAGGTAGGAAAGTGGCATGGTATGGAAAAGGCATTCACAACAGAGGTTCTGGGACATGGGATAGCATGGTGCTTGTACAGAACCAGAAGGAATTGGTGTGACTGGAATAAAACCACAAAGGGAAGAGTAGAGAAGGATGAGGCTGGAGATACCTGCAAGGGTGAGTTTTGAATATTGTCCTGCAAGGTCTGGAAACTATGGAAAAATTCCAGTGAAGAAAGTGACATGATTAGGTATACTCTTTAAAGGGAGCTTGCTCTGGCTAGATGGTGTGTAGATTGGAGAGGGATCATGGAGATCCATTAGTAGGCTCCTGACATTCTATCATCACCATAATAACAGCAAACACTTAGAGTGTTTACTATATGCCAGGCATTGTTCTAAGACCTCAAAATCTATTAGCTCATTTAATCTTCATAACAACCCTATGAGGTAGGTACTTTTATCATTTACATTTTAGAGATAAGGAAGTTACAGAAATAGCAAGGGTCTGGTAGAGTCAGAAGTTTAACTCAGATCTGTTTTACTGCAAAGAATAAAAAAATATTTTTAATATAATTATTATTGATGATACTGGATTAATTAACTCAAATCCAAGATGACATCACAAAAAAGTTGATACTGTCATTTGGTAACCTTTTAATTCTTATCCATGTAAACATTTAATTTTTACATAGAAATGATAGATGGAGTTTATATTCTACCTTTTCATTTAATGTTATGGTGTTCTGTGTTGGATATCATTCATTTGTCTCATTAGGAATTTTCTCCAGCCCCCTCTACCCTTGCTCTGAATCCCAGGCTGCATCACTGGGGCTTGAGCCCTCTGGCCTCCAATTGGGTTGGCCAATAGAATATAACAGGAAAGTAGAGGGTGGGTAGAGAGAGAAATCATCTCCCTCCCTGCCAGTCACAATTGATAGACTGCCTCACCCTACCAATGTCCACAGCGCCTATCTGGAGGCTGTATCCTTATAGCTGCCCACTCCAGGTTCTGACACCCTGCTGCTACAGACCCTGAGGGACTGGAGGATCCCCTGTTAGTTTCCCTACACACTTCCAACAACTTTGTAGATATTCATTTTATTAAACTTGTCCTAATTTACAGTTTGCATATGTCCTCTATTTCCAATGGAATCCTGAATGATACACATACTTATTTTTGTTAGTTAGAAGCTGCTTTTGTTCTTTTTTTTCCACTTTCTACTTCTCTCCTTTTTCTTTTCACCCAATCCACCACCCAAATGTTTACCTGTATGGTGGGGGTTTCATCATCTATTGTACAATAATATAATCATACTGTATGCATTTATCTTCAGTGTGTGTTTTGTTTTTTTTTGTAACATGTTTCTCCTTTTTCCCCCATTGACACCCTCCCCTCCCTCCCTCCCCGCCTTGTCCCTAGCTTTGTTGTCTATGTCCATTGGTCACACATACATGCATATAAGCTCTGTGGTTCATCTCCCCCGCCCATTCTGGGGATTGTCAGTTTCTATCCTACTTCCACGTCTCTGGCACTACCCTGTTCTTCAGACGGTTATGTTCCACAAATGAGTGAGATCATATGATACTTGTCTTTCTCTGTTCGGCTTGTTTTGCTTGGGATAATAGTTTCCAGGTCCCTCCAAGTCATCTCAAAAGATAAGAGATCTTTCTTTCTTGCAGCTGCAGAGTACTCTATTGTGTATATGTACCACAGCTTTTTTATTCATTCATCTACTGATGAACATTTGGGCTGTTTCCAGATCTTAGCTAATGTAAATAGTGCTGCTGTGAACATGGGGTACATATATTCTTTCAGACTGGTGTTTCAGGCTTTTTAGGGTATATTCCTAGAAGTGGGATCACTGGGTCAAATGGAAGTTCAATTTTTAACTGTTTGAGGTAACACCATATTGTTTTCCATAGTGGCTGCATCAGCCTGCATTCCCACCACCAGTGTACTAGAGTCCCCTTTTCTTCACACCCTCGCCAGCACTAGTTGTTTGATGATTTGTTGATGGCGGCCATTCTGACAGCTGTGAGGTGATACCTCATTGTTGTTTTAATTTGCATCTCTCTGATTATTTGTGATGTTGAGCATTTCTTCATATGTCCCTTAGCTGTTTGTATGTTCTGTTTGGAGAGGTGTCTATTTAGTTCCTCTGCCCATTTTTCAATTTGGTTCTTTGTCTTCTTTTTGGTGAGCTGTATGAATACTCTATATATTTTGGAAATTAACCCCTTACCTGATGTATCATTGGAAGTTATGCTCTCCCATAGAGTGCATTGCCTTTCAATTTTGGTGGTTGTTTCTTTGTTATGCAGAAGCTTTTGAGTTTGATATGTAGTCCCATGTGTTCATTTTCTCCTTTGTTTCTGTTGCCTTAGGTGATGTATCAGTGAAAATTCTGCTGCGTATTATGTCTGCAATTTTGTTGCCTACATTTTCTTCTAGGATTTTTATGGATTCATGAGTCACATTTAAATATTTTATCCATTTTGAGTTTACTCTTGTGTACGGTGTAAGTTGATGGTCTGTTTCATTTTTTTGCATGTAGCTGTCCAATTTTCCCAACACCGTTTATTAAAGAGGCTGTCTTTACTACATTGTATGCTCTTGCCACCTTTGTCAAATATTAATTGAGCATAATATTTTGGGTCCACATCTGGATTCTCTATTCTGTTCCATTGATCTATCTGCCTGTTGTTGTGCCAGTACCAGGCTGTTTCGATTACAGTGACTTTGTAGTGTAGCCTGAGATATGGTAATGTGATCCCTCCAACTTTGTTCTTCTTTCTCAAGATTGCTTTGGGTATTCGGGGTCTTTTTTGGTTCTATATGAACTTTTGAAGTATTTGTTCTAGTTCTGTGAAGTATGTCGTTGGTATCTTGATGGGGATTGCATTGAATTTATAGATTGCTTTGGGAAGTATGGACATTTTAATAATGTTAATTCTTCCAATCCATGAATAAGGTATTTGCTTCCACTCTTTTATATCTTCCTCTATTTTTTTTCAATGACCTGTAATTTTCTGCGAATAGGTCCTTTATTTCTTTGGTTAAGTTTATTCCTAGGTATCTTAAATTTTTTGCTGTGATGGTAAATAGGAATGTTTCTTTTAGTTTCTCTTTCTGTTAGATCATCATTGGTGTATAAGAATGCTGTCGATTTCTTGACGTTAATTTTGTATCCTGCTACTTTGCCAAGTTCATTTAAAGTCTAGTAGATTGTTCATGGAGTCTTTGGGATTTTCTATGTATCATATTATGTGATCTGCGAATAATGACAGTTTCACTTCCTCCCTTCCAATTTGGATCTCTTTCATTTTTTCTTCCTGTCTGATTGCTGTGGCTAAGATTTCCAGTACTATTTTAAATAAGAGCATCAAAAGTGGGCATCCTTGTCTTGTTCCTGTCCTTAAGGGAAATACTTTTAGTTTTTGTCCATCGAGTATGATGTTGGCAATAGGTCCTTTATATATGGCTTTTATGATGTCGAGATATGATCCCTGTATTCTCAAATTGCAGAGCATTTTTATCAGAAATGGGTGTTGAATTTGTTGAATGGTCTTTCAGCTTCTATTAATATGATCATATGATTTTTATCTTTCATTTTGTTTATGTGGTGTATCACATTTATTGATTTGGGAATATTGTACCAGCCTTGCATCCCTGGGATGAATCCCTTTCTGTTTGCTTGGAAGATTTTTTTCCATCCTTCACTTTCAACCTATGTGAGTCTTTTGTTTTGAGGTGGGTCTCTTGTAAACAACATATATGTGAGTCATGCTTTCTTATCCAGTCAGCTAATCTGTGTCTTTTTATTGGAGCATTCTGGTCATTTACATT